TGATGATGATGATGATGATGATGATGATGATGATGATGATGATGATGATGATGATGATGATGATGATGATAACAAAGATTAGGACGAACAAGTCATACTATCGGCTGCTCTGCCCCGCTGGTTCCTTTTTTCATTTTTTTCGCAGCCATCGCTTCGCCGTCAGACATCATGTCGGCCTCGTCATCAGTTGTGCCTTGATCAGCTGTATGGGACAGAAACAAACATTGCTAGATCCCACAGAGCAATGCCAATTTGATTTAAGATCAGCCTCATCCGCACAGCCATGACTACTCAGGAAAAAAGAGACCTCGCTCACTGTAAACAAGAATGAGTTACATTTGGTTTCAATAATTTGTTTGCGAAGTATCCCTTTCATTCTTACCAACATCTTGCATGAATATGAAATAACTGAAGGGCCATGAAAGCGATGGAAACAAAAAGTTCCGCGATGCTAGACTCTGTGATTATCTTTCCCGTTTTTTGTGTTCCTTTATGCAGATTAACGGGGAGTATCTGAACAACAATATAAGACGGTAGCATGTGCCTTAATAAAATGTTGAGAGCTGCAATACTCACCGCCTCTCGACTGGAACCCAAGAACATGAAAAAAAAAAGAAGAAAGGATTAATGTTCACACTTACATAGACTTCTGGTAAACATGTATTCACTTAATAATGATACTAGTGCGAACATTAATTTAGCTCCTTCTTACTATTACAATACTCTAAGCACGAGGTTAACGGCTTTAACATGCACGTTTCAATATACGTATAGATTCAGAAGAGCCTTGTCTTCTTAATTATTTCAGCATTATAAACGGGTGTAGACATTGCCCCTGATTTTGAAAATGGAACAAAATTGCACACAACGAACAAATGAACCCCCCCCCTAACTCTTAATATTTTAACCAATATCAATATTGGTTTTTTTTCTGGGCTCTCAGATTTTCAGAATGTGAGAGGAGATTCGACAAGACGCAAAAATCAATGTACCTCCCTCCCTTTAAATAATTAAAACTAAAACATTCCCCCAAAAATAAAACAAAAAGGTAAAACAGAAGACAAGACAAAGCAAGGAAGGCACACTCATTTACCTTCTGATTCTTTAACAATTTACATACTGAAAGCACTACTGCTGGTGTTGCCAATTTATATAACTTCGTTTAACATTTTATCATGACACAGTAACACATTAAAAAGTCATTGGCTCCACATACCATTCCATTGAGGTAAATCACATACAAAAATAATAGATTAATTGTAAAAAATAAGGGTAGCTGAGAAAAATAAAAAGATTGAATATAGTTAAATACTCGAACAAAACTCGAAGGAAACAAAATATTTGCAACAAATCAATTCACCTGAGCTGATACGAGATGGAAATAGACACCTCTCTTCACCATCAGCTCGTCGTGTGTGCCCATCTCCGCTATCTGACCCTTCTCAAAAGCCACGATCAGATCAGCTTGTCTGATGGTGGACAGACGATGAGCAATCACGATGGTGGTCCGGCCGCGACAAGCCTGGAATACAGTGGCCATAATGTTGAGAGGGCAATCTGGCCTATTGTACTTTGCTCATCTTCGTGGGTAAAAGTCTCTTAGAGGCCCTCCCCCCGCGAACTTACTTGACCTACTATGAATATCCAGCGTCTCCAGTATCTAATGGGCCATACTTGGGTCACAGTGATTTCATGTACCAGAGACGCTTTTGATATATGAAATATTTTAAGAATTGGAGGGTGGGGGGTGTCAAAATTTACTTTTGCTTCTTCGTGTTAATACATTTGAATTGTACTATTCTATGTATATGCCTCGCTCACCTAGAAATGCAAATTTGATCCGTACAGTACATAGTTTTGAGTTTCACAGCGTATCAAGCTTTTTCGAATGCAATTCTTTGAATACCCTTTTATAATCATAATAATTGCATTTATATAGCGCATATCCATGCTCAAAAGCATGCTCTATGCGCTTTCAACTATTATTGCCCCAGAAGACCCTCTGAGAACACTCAGAATCATTTTCGGCTTCCGCGGAAGCATACAGTGCAAGCTGCGGATTTCACGCGCTCAAACACTATCAAACTGACAAGATCGTTCACTGTCTATAGCCAGGTACCCATTTCCACCTGGGTGAAGTGAAGAAAATTTGTGCAAAGTGCCTTTCCCAAGGACACGACGTCGGGCCCCTGACGGGATTCGAACCCACGACCTTACGGTTGCGAGTCCGAGAGCCTAACCACTAGGCCACCGAATAATCTTACGGTTTTGATAAAGTATCTATCTCTCTGTCTATCGACCATTCATTCCAAACTGGCATGTGTGGTGTAAAGGTTACGCTCCAAGACATGAGTTCGATTTCAACGGGAGAATATTATCTATCTTACCGAGTATTCCTATGTTTTAGTGGAGCTTTATTTTATGCATGATAGGCAGAATCAAGCAGCCCCCCTCTTAGATGATTTCAGTTGTGTCGACTGAGGGCCAAAATAATTAACAATTATAGGGGAGCAAAATTCGTGGTGCAACGTAAAGTAAAGTGAAGTTGTTCCCGCATCCGATCCAGACCTGGGGATTGCCTTATTTGTGAGACAATTTCCTAGGCCTTCGGTATATTATGATAAGGTGGCCAGTTCATTTCCACGCCGCCTTTACTTCCCCAACTCGAAGTCAGGTACCCATTACTGCTGGGTGGC